ACGGCTTGTGGCAGTAAAGAGTCAAATATGTAAAGACTTACGGGAGAACCTAATACAAATGAACAAGCTCGGCAAAAGTGGCTTATAAGCAAGCTCGACATCTGAGATAAAAAGCAAACGGATATCGTTTTTGTGGCAAAAAAGACAAAAATTGTTTTGCTAGTCGATGTTTCGTTTTTGGGGTTCTTTCTTACGTTTAGTTATGTTTACGGGTTAGAATCAAGGGGACTTCGACTTCGTTTTTTTCATTTTCGGAAAGCCACTTCGTATAGAAGCCTGATAATGAAGAGGGATGTCTACTTCGTTTTGTCCTGCAAGTTTACTACACGTTACGAGAATATGCGCGAATGTTCAAGCAAGAGACTTGATAATACAGAAAAAGTATGATAAATTTTTTAGGACACCCGGTATACGTCGGAAAAAACGCGAATGTTGGATTGACGTGAAGACACGACACAAACGAGGTCCAAAAACATAAACTAGGCTGAACAACTACAAAAATACTTACCGATAGGAAAGCCCACTTGGATATGTAATTTGTAAACTGTGTTGTGTCCGACCATCGACATCGCAAATAACCGTAAAGATTAGCCGAATTCATAGACAGACCCAGAAGAGCGATGATCATCCACTCCCACTGAAATGCACGCTTGTAGTGCTCACAACTGCAATTTCTATTTCAACGGGCTTGAAACCTTGAAAGTGAAAAATGCCATGGTGACGAAAAACAGCCACATAAGCGGGCCTAGTACAAGACCAATCCAAAAAGCACGCCGATCGAGAACGGGGAAACGAGAGGTGTCCTAGAAAGCAGAGAGTGATATAAGAAGTGAGATAAATGAGCGAGTACCTTGGCACTTTCGAACTTCCAGTGGTTGTTGCCATTTTCGTCAACAAAATTCCACCATCGCAAACCAACAAGCAATCTTCCTGTGATATTCTTTACTGTCCAAAAGTCCATTGAAAGTAAGGTCAACTAAAGCGACTGCTCTTTGCGTTCAGCAAACAGTTTCTTCTAAATGAAAAAACTTACGATTACGAGAAATTGAACAATGAAGGAAGATGACAGCCAGTTGGCGAGAAAGTAGTAAGCCAGAGCTGCTCCTTTGAACGCAACATGAGCCAGAACTATCGTCGGCTTGCTAAATTCA